AAATATTAGTTTATATGATGTAAGGTACATTAATTGTTTCAAAATTTTGTTATGGAAAATTGTTTCAATTTACTCGATGCGATAATGAACTCTGAAAATGGGCCTGTAGACTGAAGATTTATATAGAATTTAAAATTATCTGCACTACTAAACTAATCAAAATAAATAACAGTAGACTAGATTATTATTTTATATGGTTAAATTTTATTGGGTGTCTACTACTATTAAGTTTGTAAACTAAACATTAATATGGTGAAGTGGCAAAAAAATTAATATGGAAAGTGCTGATAAATACCTATGTGTCTCTGAAAGATACTTTTTAATTTAAAAGGAAAATAAAATATAAATCTCATATCTCCGCAAAAGAATAAAATAAGATAAATATTATTGAGTAATTATAAAATATCATATAAAAATATTTCGTTTGCAGTAATGCATTTATTATGATTCAATTTCTATGGACTTTTTCTTTGACTTTTGCCAAGTTAATCACAAGGGCTAAGTAAATTATTTTACTAATTATGGAGATAATGCCCTAATCATGCATTAAGTAGTGACCCAGAGATTAATTATTGTAATTAGGAAAAGTCAAGTGCGTGCACTGAACTCTAAAGCTCACACATAGTGGCCGTTGAATATCAAAACATCAATAATCACCCTCCCTCCCAAGTCCCAGTTAAATTATTGTGCTTTATACTTTAATTGTTACCTCGATTACTTTAAACAAATAATAATCCGTTATATAGTATTAGCTCTATCCATATCTCTGTAATTAAAAAGTACCTGGCTCTATTTATAAGGCTGAGAAATAATAAAACATTTTTATCTTAATTATAAAGAAAGTCATCAATGTTATCACTGGCTTTTCTTTCTACTCTTCAATAAATATAATGTTGGTACGTATTATTTAATTTTTAAAATGTATATTTAATAATATGAGGAAACTTGTAAACTTATTAAAATTTTAGATATGGTTAATAAAATTTAAGATGTTTCTTAAATTCAGTAAAATATATTAAAAGTAATTTATGAACAAAATGTTAATAACATTAAGGGTGTGTTTGGTATAGGGGATTTGCAAGGGAGGGGAGGGAGGGGAAAGGACTTTAATCATTTCTCCTTGTTTGGTAACACAGATTTTAGGAGGGGAGAGGAAATTTTTTAAAAAATTTCCTTTCCTCCTCAACCTTCCCTCTAAAATTAGAAAGATTTGGAGGGAAATGACAATATTTTGTCATGTTGTGATCATTATGCTCATATATTGTCATGTTGTAACCATTATGCCCGTATCTTAAATAAAATAAGGGTAAAATTGTCCATGTTAAAATATTTTTTCCTCTTCTCCCTTTATGAAGCAAACAAGATAATATTAAAACTCCTCTCTTCCCCTTCCTTTTATAGATGCAAATAAAGTAATATTAAAATCCCTTCTCTCCCCTTCTTTTCTCGTTGAGCCAAAGAGACCCTAATCCTTCCCCCGTTTTTTTTTTTATTTGGTTCCCCTTGCGCAGGTGGCTTATTGTTTTTGGTTGACGGTTTGTTTGCAATAATCAGCAATATATGTGCTCTACTCCCTGTGGTAATTAATACATATAATCTAATTAACTGTTTTGAGTAAATTAAAAATATTGGTTAAGTTATTTAGTATGATAATTTTTTCTAAAAGATCCTAAATATGTTTCTTAATTCACTCCCTCCTTATTCTTTTTAATTGTTACTGAGAGAATACCAAATGTGTTAATTTGGAAAACATTAATTGGCATGTGAGGTAAATCTTATATATTAAAGTGGTTCCCAATTAGATTCTATATTGAGGACTAAAGAGATATAATATTACCTTCAGTCCTAATTATAATATACCGTTTGTAATCTACAAATAACGTCTTATAATTAAGAAAAAAAATAGTATCTAGTTGACTAATTTTAATATATTAATAAAACTAATTAATTAAGTTATTTATAATAAATTAATGTGTCTTTTTAAAAATATATTTACTAATTATTACGTCAAGTTTCTCAATCATTTATGAACATGTGTACCAATTTCCCCAACACTTTCGTACGATAATCCCTCTCAACCTAGATCCCACCACCCCAAAAACATGGCAGTTGACCCCTATTATGGGAACAGTGGCCTCTGTCACTAAATTAGTGCAAGTTCGTTTCATATGGAATATCAAATGAAAAGTCATGCAATTAATAACTTCCAAATAATATAATTTATTAAAAGAATTTAGAAGAAATTAAGAAAAAAAATCCCTAATTAAAAAATTAATTGGGGGATGGAATATGGAAGGGTACCTTCTATGTTTTTTTATACATAGATACTACCCATACTCTAAGTTTTACATGCCACTCACAAATTAAATTTTAAATATGAATTTTGCCCAGTTTTCCCAAAATTTTACATTTACAAGAAACAGCAACTTTTTATTTGGTGAATTTATTAAAATTTTCCTTATATCCACATTAAGAAAGAATCTCTTTATATTTACCATTCACTTACTCATTTAGGCATTCATTTTCTATAAATAAAGTGCTTGTGAAAAATAAATTATATTTTCATATATTTATTATTTTTAATAATTTTAGCAAAATTTTAAATTATGTAATTCATTTATTTATATCTTTTGAAAAATTAGGAAAGCAGGTTGCATCCCGTGGCAGGGCGTCAAAGATCATTAGTGAAATGATTGACTTTAAAAATACAAATAAATGCTTTTATCCATATTTAATAATATTGGTACATATCAGGAGTAAATTTTGCTTGAGTTTTGGTGCTCCAAAGGACAAATGTGGGCCCCCCACCAACATTATGCCCGTCGTCTCCTCTTCTTCTTGCCGGCCCCACGCTGCCTGCTCTCTTTCCCCAAACCTTCATATCAATTCAAGATGAGGATGAAATGTTCACTTTTAAATTTTGTTATTTAAATACTCCCTCCGTTTCTTATTATAAGAGACAAATAACCGAAGTACTTTGATCAAAAAAACAGTTAAAATTAGTTAAGAACAATTAATGTGCAAAAAGTATTATTTTTTTTTCAAAAATGCCCTCATTAATAAGGAGAGAGAGCATGAGGGAGAACAATTAAATTATTAAAAGAAAAAGAAGTGGGAGGGAGGGAGAGTGTGAGTTGGAGATAATAAATATGGGTAAAATAGTAAATCAACACAAAAAAGTAGAGACAACTTGTAAGTGTCTCTTATATATAGGAACATGCCATAAGCATCAAATGTCTCTTATAATAAGGAACGGAGGGAGTATCATTATATATTTGTTGAAAAATATATATGAAAAAATCACAAAAAAACTGTAAAACTTGAAAAGTTACAAATAGGTGGACAACGTTACTATGAGTTTTGACAATAATGATATAGGTTCTTACAACAATTTTGTGAACGAATCCTTATTTGTAATTTTTCATATTTCATGATTTTTTCAATATATATTTAATTCGGTTCTCAACTTCAAGTTATTTTGTAAATTTATTGTCAATTTTTATGAGTTGGTTTTACTAAAAAAATTGATAAATATTAATTTTTATATTTATTAGGCCAAAATTTTCAATTATATATCACCATCTATCTTATTTTTATTCAATGCTACTAAATATTAATTTTTTTCAGAAGGATCAAAATGTATTAATAGTAAAATAAAACACACAAATTAAATGCTAATAATTTAAAAATAAAATAAATATATATAATTAAAAATTTTAATATAATAAATAAAAAAATTTGACATAAGCATAGAGCAATTTAATATTACTGTAAAGAAAGTGAATTTTCTGTACGGAAAAATTTCTGTGAATAATGCTCCCTTCCAAAGCCACCCATCCCCGCCCTGCTACTTGAGCCAATCGAACGCCTCCTATTTAATTTCCACCAATCATATCTGCCCCTCGAATCGGGATCCTATGCGACGAGACGCAAGTCCCCATCAGGTCCCCACTTAAAGTCAAGGGTTCAGATACATTAGCCATCTAATAAAACGAAGCGCATCAGTATAATTTCATAGGGAAAATCATAAAAAAAGACCGTTAAAATAAAAAAAACTACAAACATAGACATATTAGTATGTGTTTTGACAACAATGAGTTTTGACAATAATTTTTTAAACAGGTCTTTGTATGCAATTTTTCAATTTTAACAGTCTTTTTTTTTTCCAATTTCACAATCTAATTGATACAAATATAAAAAAAAAACACCATGAAACCCCCTGTGTAAATTTTTGCCTGCCAGGAACCGGGTAAATTCTTTTGACAAAGTGCGTGTTTATTTATAAAAAGATTGGTTAAAAATATCTGTTTAAAAATCTTATTAAATAGTTGGTAGCGAAGAAGTCGAGACCTAACAAAAGAAGTAAACCTGAAGTGTCGCGAAAGACTGTTTAAATTTAAGCGAGTGCAATTAATTGTTAATGGGTACAACTCTTTTTTAAATATATATATTTTTGATAAAAGATTAATTTTGTCCAAAATCGTATAAAAAATTATATAAAAAGACTGGCTAATCATACTTGTTATTTATTATATTTTTAACTGTATGTAAGGGATTTTTTGTTTTAAAGATTTTTGTACGATAAGTTATGCAGAATTGACGGAGTGGTACGCCTATTAAAACTGACGCACGCCGGGGTCTTTTTACCAATAAAAATTTTCAAAAATTACTTTAAACCAGATTTCCTTATTGGTGTTTTTTGCTTCTTGTTTCCTAAAAATGCTTTAATTTGGAAGGCTGGCAGCTTTACTGAAAAAATGTACGACCGTTGGTGTTATCCATAACTATCTTCAGTGTGCCACGTGTCTCCACAGGTCCGGCGCTAGGATCTGCCCTGCGCACCGAATCCAGATCCCTGACAGTCGCACTTACAAATCAGTATAATTATTATTGCTACTAATCTTCGTTCCTCTACCTTTTTTAATTAAAAAAATAATTATTCATTTTTCCTCCGCCCGTGGCCGTCTTCTCTCACAGTATCTGTTGGCGTACTATTTTGTCCTCTCTGTCCTTGCTCTCTTCTCGCGAACCTTACCACGTTACTGTTTAAAGCAGCCCCATTTTCACTCACCCCATGACCTAATAATCATCCCTGCTTCTTCTTCCTCCTCCTCCATGTGATAAACTACTCTTTAGGGTGGCTGCAGAATAACACGGTCCCCTCTTGCCTATATATAGCTGTAGTGTGCGTGTATGAAGGCAAAAACAAATAGAAGAATGAAAGGTGTTTGTAGTTATGCCTCAGAGAAATAAAAAACAATAAAATCTGTGTGTGTGTGAGAGAGAGAGAGGGGGGGATAGATATGAGAGTACTGTGTAGTGAATGTGAATATAAGTGCTGAAGAAAGCTGGATCTGACTTTGATCAGAGCGAGAGTATGAAAATGAGAACCATTTGTGGGTGGTGGATCAGAAGAGGCACGCGAACACAGAGAGAGATTAATGACAGAAGAGAGTGAGCACTCTGCTGGAAATTGTATGAGTTCATACACTTGCAGTTGGGTGCTCACTTTTCTTTCTGTCATATTCTCGTTTTTCCTTCTCGTGTGTTCCTTCTTCTCCCAGAAAACCATCCTTTTTCATGTCTTCCTTTTCACTTCTGGGGCTCTCCTGGAGAGAGATCCACTTCCATCTTCTGGTACTAGAGCCATCACCTTTGACTCTCTCTCAACCAGATTGCTTCCTTGTGCTCATCTATCTTTCTCCGAGCCTCCTTTCAGTTAGGAACGTTACAGAGAAAGCACCGTGAATGATAATAATATAATATAGCGCTTGAAATGACATCTCTATAGCAGGTCTAGCTAGGCCCCTCGTAAATCCAATCCCCACCCGCTTAAATTCCTTTATCTCGATCTCCTATAACCTACTAGTCCTAGTGTCTAATCCGATCTGATTTCTGAGAGACCAAAGAAGAAGCGATAATTAGCACTGGACTACGTGCTGTCTCTCTCTCTCTCTCTCTCTTTTTCAAAGTTTGAGTTCCTGGAGGTAAGAGCGAGCGTGTGCAGACTTCTCTTTCTCTGTATCTGTTTATGATCTGATCCTTATCTTTTTATGTAATTAATCTTTTTTCCCTTGTCTCCCTATAAATTAATTAATACCTGAAGGTGCTAAATTTTTTTGTCATTTTTTTTATATTGTTTTGCGTGACTTTTGATGGTACTCTCTCCTTCCGGGAAGTAGAAACAGAAGACCCGAAAGAAATTCTTGAAGGTACGCTCGCTGACTGTTCATATTTTAACGGAAAGCTGAGTTTTTCATCAAACCCTTATTTTCATTTCCTCTTACTCACCATGCAAACAGTTAAAAGAACCTTGTTTTGCCCATCTGAAAAGCTTGAATCTTCCTGGCCTTATTGTGATCTCCTTCTCTCCTTATATTCGAAAACTTCGAGAAAGGAGCGAAAGAGGGGAAATTTGTATGAAGAACATAAGACAACAGGGAAAAAAATCGAAGCTTGGATAATGCAGATTTAATGATTTTTCTCGTAGAACAGTGGGATTTCTGATTTCCGTAGAGTTTGGAGGAAAAAGGAAAGTCTTGGGAACGTGGATCAAGCAGCTAAATATGGGAAGATTTTGTTCTTTCCCTTTCTGGGGTGGAATGCATTTATTAACTGCCTTAATTGAAGGATTCACAGATGCGATCTTCCTTTTACAGGTTAGATCATTTTCAGTAAACAGATTCGAAGAGATTTTCTTCAAAAATTTTCCTTTAAATTCTTACATTGAGAGCAAATATTCCGCTCTCTCTCCGCCTTAATTTCTTCGTCTGATTACAGCAAGTAATTGGACCTCTCTTTATATATTTTTATCACTGAACCTGTTTTGCGTTAGGAAGCAGAAACTTGCCTCACCCACTTCCTGCAGTATAATTGCTCAGGTAAAGTTTCTCATAAATAGCACTTTTATATATTTTTATTTTTGTTTTAATCATCTGTTTGATAACTTGATTTATTATACTAAATCAGTTCACTTTTAAGGATTTTGTTGTTAATTTAGCGTTTTAATCGGTGTTGTAATGATACTTCTGGTTCCGTACTTGCTTTTCATGCAGTTTTTGATGCCATTGGGATTTCAATAGAGGCTCCAGAGGTCCCATAATTTATACTCTTTTACTGATATCAGTCCATGGTTTATATTTTTAGAACAAAGAATATAACTTTGAGCTTTTTAATGATACAGTCCAAACAAAAGCCAAATTCTCCCCGTTCCAAGAGTTGTCCCTTTGCCTTCACATGTATGCGTCTGTGTATTATTCTTTTTGGGAATAACTTTTCATTAACTAATACTGAATTTGATAACTTATCTGATTAAATATACTTCCCAAAAATATCGATCTTGTGACCCAAATGATGATTGGTGTTTTTCTTTTCTTTCTTTTTTGAAAATACTAAGAATTTTTGGTGTAACACCATCTTAAAATTGGCAGGCCAACATCCATGTTGGTAGGCCGCACACAGAAACTTTGAGACATTTAATCTGACCATTTTGAGTGGTATGTGATATTATTATATGCAAGGATATTCTATCCTCAAATTTTTTAATTTTTCATAATTTTTGCAAAACACCAAATACAAATTTATGGCAATAATTTTCAAATGCGAAAACAAACACAAGAATGTCATATACCTATAACCTTGCTATGTATCTTATAAAAATTTTAAGACATGCATGTACTTATTTGTGTTACTTTCCTGTATTTGATAATTTGTGGTGATTACTTACAACATTGTTCCCAAAATTTTGGGTGCTACGAAATATCGTCCAAAAATTATTAGTGATCTCATATGTAGCTTCCCTAGTTCTATAATGTACTACTTATAAAATTTCTATGGTAACTTCCAAATGTCATAATAAAAATGAAAAAACAAGTACCTATACTATATATCTTGCACGAACATGACGCGCATGAATCAAATAGGTTCCCCTAGTGTTAGTGTTAGTGTGTGTGTGTGTGTTTTTTTTTTCACAGATGTGAAGCACTTGACCAATATTACAATTTTTATTTGGATTGATTTATATTTGATTATTAATGGTAGTGTTATCCTAAAATAAGCACATGGAATTACCACCTATATATTAAAAGTCCCCAATTCATCCTATGCCATGTTAACACTGCGTTAGCCTTCAATGGCCCCAGCAGTACCTTGTCATAGGGCCGGAGTAAACCCTGAAAGGGACTCCAAGACTTGAACAGGTCTTTTGGGACGAAAGCACGGTAGCTAGGGAAAATCCCTCATAAATTCCACAAATTTTATATGACCCAGAAATCATCACATAAAATTCAAAAAGGTTCTTATAAATCTAATGTAGATTTGTGACACAGGGTAAGAATACAAAGCACACTGACTTTGGTGCCTGAAGAACCATGGAAATTGTTTAGCTATGTAACACCAGTGTGTGCTGCAATATAATTCAGTGGAAGAACGTCATGATTGCAAACTGAAACTAATGTACTTAAATAATGTCAAAAGGTGATCGTTAGTATAAAATGTATGTAGCGATCTGCTGATTATACATCATCTTTAAATTAATCTGGAAGATCAGGAATATTATCCATGTTTACTTAAAGGTTTAGTAGATTAGGTGTTTTTAAGTATTTTTTTCAGCATTAAAATGAGTTGTGTATTTGTAAGCATCATTGTCCACGCAAGTCTTTCCATTTGCCTGTTGAGAAATTGGAAATATGGTGAGGGATTCCATTTCTATCTCATTGTGTGACTAATTATTACAGGTAGTGGGATCATAGTGGGTAGCTTCCTCTCATGACAGTAAAAAGGATAATGTCATTGAACGGTTTGTTGTGGTGTTAGGGCATGGATTTTGATTGCACAAGCCGCCTTGTACTGTGTATGTCGGTCTGGAGACATGATAGTGATGGTTGTGGCCTATTGTCGAGATAATGTTACTGTTTATTTTTTATTTATCGATTTATGATAAATGTAAACTCCTCTATCCTTTTTAAATTTTTCATTCATAGGTATCCAACATAAGATGTCTTTCTAACAAGTAAAATAGCTGCCAAATTACATTTATTTAGCATATATAGAAATGTGAAAAATTGATCCAAACCCCCTTTGATGATACAGTAAATATGTTGCTGTGCTTATTAATTTGGTGCGTCTGGCTTTACTTTTTCTCTTCAAATTTTTATGTCTATTAACTCTTCACTTCTTAGGGTGTTTTTATCTCTTCTTTGCCTATGCACCAGTGTCTCCTCTTCTTGTTCCTTTATTATTTTCTCTCCTTTTCCCATCAGAAATGGTTGGCTTAAAGCATTCTTTTTAACTTTTTGATCCCTTTTCTTATGTTCATATGATAACTTAAGACTACCTTTATTTATGAAAGAAGAGCATATAAAAATAAATTTGTATAAAGAACATCTGATTTCTTTGTTATAAAGAAGAAAGAAGACTGAGTAAGTGGGTCCCATGAAACAAGTTACAATGAGATAATTAGCAATTAATGAGGTGATAGTGGAAGTTTTTACAATAAAAATATATGCTGTGGTGATGCTGCACCGTTTGTGAATTTTACATATGAGATATTCTGAGTTTCGTTTCCACTAAAACATGGGGACCCATCTATGATCAACTTCAGTTAATATAGAAAATTAATGGTTAATGGGGGACTGTTAATGCGCTGTTTTTTACTTCCTACTTTACTTGGAACATATGGACTCAGACTGTGCTTCTTTAAGATCGCATTTTAGGATTGAAAGGCAGAAATAACAAAGCTTGATTTAGATCTTCTGTGTGGAAGCAAGTTCATAATGAATGCATGGAATTTGTTTTTTGGATTAGTGGAAGCCTATCCTTCGGTTTTCTTTGCATAAACGAGTTATAGAGGTAACTCTTACTGGTTTGAGTCTAGTTGCTTTAGCCTTCTGTAGGATATTTGTTTAAAAATAATCTCATTGTTATTATTGGAATGATTGGTATAACAAGTAAAATATCATGGCGAGCTATCGCCCTTTGGGTCTAATATATAATGGTACTTCTGCCCTCCCTTGGGTTTAACTGAACGAGAAACAAAACATTCAATGTAAAGAACTCTCAACATTTAACTGCGCAGTTTGATCTCATGTTATGCGAAGAACCATTCATTTTAAAAGTTCAATGTTAAGAGAAGACTCACATCACAAAGCAGTAAAGAATATATGGTTTCAAAGCTAAACTGGTTGAAATAAGCCCTTAATTAAGACATGTCATACTAATCATTACCGTTTGTGCGTCCTTACCAAAGGCGTAAAAACCAAACCAAGAAGCTAAGTACCAATTAGTCATGTCAGTGTGGTGAGCTGTTGTCACATCTTTAACTAAACTGGCTTCTTTCTCGGTCTAAAAATTTGAATAATAACCATCACAAAGCCGTAACTTGACAGCAGTTAACTACGGGCTTGAAATTTAGCTATTGTTTGCGTTCTTCACTCATTTATGGTATCTTAGGAATACAATCAACTTTATCAGCTGTGTGCTCCAATTTTTTTTTTTTCAAGGGAGCATGATGAAATGACACCAGGTTGATCTGATTACATCATTCAAGTTGACATGTAGTTTGAAAATATAGGTCATAGTTAAATTCTGCATTAGCTTTTGCTGGGTTTTAATCTCAATCTAATATACATGGAATTTGCTGCTTAAGCTAAATGACTGACTCTTTAACTTCTTTATCTCCCAGCTTTTTCTTGGATGTTCTCAAGAAATAAGTTAGTAAAGAGTTGCTGAAATTGGTACTTCTATTTGGTTGTCCCTTGAGTCGCCCTCTTAGTTATCTGATATTTTACCCAGACTTAGCAAGTTGCAAAATATCCATTTTAATTGTAAGGCAGTCTGATTCATTTTTCTTTCCTTTGTTATGAATTCTGTCTTTGGTAATGATCTGAAGTTGGGTGTTCAATATGCTTCACAGTTATCCATTTTCACATATGGTTTCTTATTGCTTGGTGATTTTCTTGAATGCTTGATATTTTGAACTTGTCAGAATATCAATAGTGTAACATGACTTTCCCTGCCATTATCACAGGACTATATAGTGCCCCATCCCCCCCCCCCCCAGTTGCATTAGGGGCTTGGAAAGTATTCTGTTCTTTTTTCCATTTTTTTTTTTTTTTGCATGACTTGCTTGTGGTTATCAAGCAAGGATCTTCTGGATTTCTCTACTATCAGATTACCAATATTATAATTTCAGATTGACAAATAGTCAGCCAGAAACTGGCTTTATAAGCTTTGACCTTGGTATGTTTGACGCATTTAGTTTTCTGCTAGGACTAGATCTGACAGATTATTGGATATGTGCTCCCTGTCCCTTTCTAGCCATCTGAATGCGGCTAGGTTTTCTTTTTCTTCTTAAAATTAATTTCTATTCAGTTATTTACATTCACCTTTCGGTTCAAAGTTACATACTCTGAAGCCTTCTATATAGCACTTCACACAACTGAGAAGTTAAGCTGTCTTGTCTTGGTATCAAAGTGTCTATGATTGCCCTTTGAAATAGATTGAGGATGCTAATAAATTTTGTACACGTCATGCGGGATTCCAATATGAATATATTGCTGAAAAGTTCAGGATGCATACACTCACATGAATATACAATCAAATTTACAAAATGAAAAAAATTTCACTTGAATGGTTTTGCAGCAGAATTGGGATGGAAGAGAACATATCAAGCAAGGAATCAAGTGGTGTGGACAATGTGAGCACAGAAGGTTTGGATTCAAACGGCAATTGTTATCCCGCCTATCCAAACAAACATTTAGGACATTGCAGCAAGGAATCCGATAATAAATTCAAGGGCATTATGCCTCCGCAGATTGGGAGCTGGGGTTCTCAGGTATATGCTAATGGCCATCAGATTTGGCTTGGGACCTTCACGTCTGAAAAGAAACCAGAGATGGCTTATGACAGTGTGACTATCCAACTTTGCTGTGGTGATTCTCACCAGAATTTTCCTCAGACTAATGTCATTGTTAAGGAGCCAAACTTCCAGAACCAATACTTCCGAGAAGCTGCACCTGAGATGATAAGAGGTGGTTCATGCCAACCAAGATTCCGAGGACTTGATGGGGATAATTGTGGAAACACTGAATCAGGTACTTGTGGTCTCAACCATTTTGCAATGCAGAAAAGAGGTTGCTTCTCATGTAAGCTACTTTTCCGAAAGATGCTGACACCAAGCGATGTGGGTAGGTTGAATAGAATTGTAATCCCCAAGAAATACGCCACCACATGTTTCTCTGATATCTCTAGAAAAATGGAAGAAGATGCAAAATCCAGTGAGCTTGCCGATGTGCAGGTAGATTTCTTTGACAGAATGATGAGGTCTTGGAAGTTCCGGTACTGCTATTGGAAGAGCAGCCAGAGTTATGTGTTCACAAGGGGTTGGAGCAGGTTTGTGAAGGACAAGCAGTTGAAGGTTAATGAAGTTGTTGCCTTTTACTTGTGTGAAGTCCAAGGGGAAGGAAAAATAGTGAACAAGTTCTTCATGATTGACCCTGTGAGAGGTGAAGACTCTTCTGGTAGTAGCAGCGGCTCAGTGATTGAAGTTGCTGATCACAATTTTTGGTTGAATCAACCTGAAATGTTCTCCTCAGTATTTGAAAGTGCTTCTTATCACCATGTTGAGTTGACGAAACCTGAACTGTGCTCTGATGTTGAGAAGAGGCTTGGAAAGCAAGTGGTGGATGCTGACCCACCGAGCAATGTTGAGAGGAAAGGTTTTAGACTCTTTGGGGTCCAAATCGACTGAAGCAGGTCTTCTGGTATTATGACGTACGATATATTACTATAAAGTTAGGGTTAGTAATCTCTTTCCCTAATCTGATAATATATTTATAAGCATGCCTCATACTTAGTTTTTGTGATATGGGGTTTGGCATTTCTTCTTATTAGAGCATTCATAGCGTCGCTCAGGTACTTGGCAAACCGTTAGAATGATGTAATTATGGATTATTAGTTAATCTAACTTATAATTTGCTAAATTATCAACCAAATCACCAAAAAAGAACACACACTCGCACACATATTGCTTGAGCTTTAAATTTTTTTCATATTTATGGCAAAGTTTTCCATGTAAAAAGGGGCTGTTGGGGGGGGGGGGTGTAAATAACAGGAATGCAATAATGACCAAACTACCACTCTCCCCACCCAACAATTAAAATAAAGTTACTTATTACCTCCCATTTTAATTTTATGGAAACTTTATGAGGAGCAAATTTAAATAAATAAAAACCGGATTGAGGATAGGATAAGCTCTAACCTAATATCCATACGTATTTTGTATGTTTGTTTATGGGTGGCTTTTGTTTCTGTTTGTATGCTTTTTTATTTCTTTTATCTCTCAAGCCTATCCACACACAGCTTATCTCAAGCATTCCAGATTTCGCACTCACCTCCAATTTCTCTGTTTTGGGATTTCTTTTTTTGATCTGGAGCGCTGTCTTTTTTTTAAATTAAAGAAGATATATAAAAGATGGAAAAGGACAAATATATAATGAAACAAACTAGTTACGCCGTCATTAATTTGATTTTCCTCACCATAAGCAAGAAAAGTTGTCCAGCTACCAACAACCCATTATGCGTCTTTTTCTTTTTAGATGAAAGGGAGGGTATAATATTTTAATTTTAGATCTTAATCTAATCAAGTTTTTCTTTGTTATTAAGAGGAAGCTTTGCAGAGAGAATTAAACACTAATTCTGGCAAAAAAAGCACTAATTAAGAAACTAAACGAGGATTCAGTGGCAAAAGCCAAATATTAATTGATGAATCATCAACACAGCAAAAGTCGTTGATTCATTTTTGTTTCTTTCTTTCCAATTTTCATGGGGATTCCCCACATGCCCTTTCGGAATGAAATCACACAACACAAAGGGCTATAATTAAATAAGAGAAATAATTAACCAAAACAGAAAATATTTAAACATTTAATCCCCGCTAATTGCTTCTTGGGCTTCTTTTAAATCAGAAGATCACAATAATTACCTTCGCTAAAACGACGATCACTGACTCCTAAAACGACAATTCTACTATGAGTTTATTTGGGTCGGGCTATCGGACGGTGATGTCCACGCAATGTCTTTCAGTGCGGGTCGGAGCTCCTTGCTGCAGAACTGGTTGTACTCCAAGGTATCGCCGTTATCCTTCTTCACCTCCACCACCGCCAGCGACGCTGTCAAGGCGTATATCTCCGCCGCGATTGCCAGCCTCCCTTTTCGTCCACACTCCTGTCTCTGCAGCCTCACCATGTTGTCGCCCTTCTTCACGTTGAATCTCTCTGCCCTCGCCACCTCCTCTAGCCGTGATATCACGCTGCTCGCCGGCCTGGCCGTCGCGAACCTCATCTCCTCTTTCTCTTCTCTCTTATCAGAGAAAAGTGGCGACAAGTCGAACCCTTCCGATAGGGATATCAAATGGAACGCGTTCATTGTTGCAGGCTGATTCTGCTTCCATTTCTCGAAATTATCCTCGCATTCCAGTTCGATTTCCTTCCCTTTTTTTGTCCTCAAGCTCTTCGGAATCGATTTCTTGAAGAACGATGAGTCCATGATTTTTGAAATCGTAATTCGAGTGTTGGGGTTCGGGTCGAGGAGTTTCGTAATGAGTCGTCGAGCTTCCGATGAAAACCACGGCGGGCATTTGAAGTCGCCTCTGTAAATCTTTTTGTACATGGAAACCAAATTGTCGCCCTGAAAGGGTAAGAATCCGGCGAGAAGGACGTATAAGATGACCCCGCAAGACCAAATATCCGACTTGGCGCCGTCGTAGCCTTTTTTACTGATTATCTCCGGAGACACATACGCCGGGGTACCACAGGTAGTATGCAACAAACCATCCTGCCGTAAGTGCTCGGAGAAAGTGCTGAGACCAAAATCTGTGACTTTGAGATTTCCATGCTCGTCGAGGAGCAGATTCTCCGGCTTGAGGTCGCGGTGGTAGACGCCGCGGCTATGGCAGAAATCGACGGCGGAGATCAATTGCTGGAAATAGACTCTGGCCACGTCTTCTTTCAACCGACCTCGAGCGATTTTATTGAAGAGCTCGCCACCTCGAACGAGCTCCATGGCGATGTAAATCTTGGATTTGCTGGCCATGACTTCGTAAAGCTCGACAATGTTGGGATGCTTCACCATTTTCATCACTGAGATTTCTCTCTTGATCTGTTCCATCATTCCCACTTTTATCACCTTCTCTTTCGACACGACCTTCATCGCCACGCTCTTCCCCGTCTGTAAGTTCCGAGCATGATACACCTTCGCGAATGTTCCGTGACCCAGAAGCCGACCCAGCTCGTACTTTCCATGGAGCAGAGCCGAGTGACAGTCTTTGCCTTGTTCAGCCATTTTTACAAACAGAAAAAGAAAAATCCACGACAAAGGGGGAACAACAAAAAGGTAAAATCTGAAATGGGTATATTTACAAGAAAACGGAGATCTGCGTCAGATTCACCCGTCTTCGACGTGTTTCCGGTGGCAATTCCGGCCGCCGATACGGCACTCGGTGGCGGTGAAGCTTATGTCAGTGTTCCTCAACGCAGGACCTCTCATCTTTCCGCATTCCCTGAGGGAAACGACAAAGATGATAACTTTTTCAGAGCTGTTTATCGCTACTAATAGCTAATATTACACAATAACTACAATATTCTTAAGCAGGAGCGGTTATGAGAATTCTTTTGGCTGGGCTCTGAATTGAGTGAATTCTTTGTTCAGCGCCCCAGGCTTCCATTTTTGTAGCGGAGTTTCTCTTTAGAATTACAAATGTGCCCCTGGAATGCGGTCGCCTCGGATCGATGTAATCGGTCATGGGAGAGACTAACCAATGGATGGATGGCACGTGGTGTGAAATTACCGGGGCACGGGGTGGTGATTGGGTCCTGACACGTGTCCGCATCAGCTGGGAATGGTTCGGTCAATAACGACGTGAATATGGAGAAGCGTAAGTCTCTGGAGTAGTATTTATTTATTTAGCTCAATAATTTGTATTTTGTTCGGTGTTCCTATTTTCTTTAGAGAAAAAAGTTAAATAAAAGAAAACGAAAAAAAAGTCCGTCAAATATTTTATCAGTTAGTAAGTAGTGATTTATTGTCACTTATTAGTGCTATAATCTTTAAGACAATGCATATTATTGATATGGATACTTCTCTAGATTAATTTTTAAAATTAATTGTATTTAAAACTATAAGTCGTATCTGCACAAACCAAAGGAGAAAATTGGATCAAATATTAAATAGGGACAATTTTAAAAATTATGATTAATATCTTACTTAATACTAACTAAGGAGACCATTCCTTTCTTTTTCATGTTAATTTTTAATGGCCTATTAGTTTGTAAATTTCAAAAGTAAGAAATTAATTCATGAAAATTTCTAATTTTTGCATGGCTTACAATAGATTAATGAAACTGAAATTTCAAAAAAAAAATAATTCATTAATTTTTAAATTAAAGTGATTAAACTATTAGTTAAAAATTAAAAGTATATATAGAACTTACAAAAAATAATAAAAATAAGACAAAGACAAAAACTGTAAGGGTAATGTCCTTAAAAAAAATATAAGAGAAAATAAGAAATCACAATTTCAACAAAATTAAATATATACATTATTTTCCGTTTTACAATATGTAATTTTAATTTTTTCGGTTATTTTAAATTTATAAAAGTGAAATTATGTTAGAAGTAAATACATAATAAGTTGAAATATGCACGTAAAATTAGAGGACTAATTAATCAGAAACAACAGGAAACAAAAAAGTGAAACTCGAATGAATGTATAGTGATTAGAGCATTATATAAGGAACCAGACATGTCAGTATCTATGGCAGCTTTCAAAGGCTGAAGAAATCTCACGCCGCACAACAACAAAAATAATGACGGTCCCCAAATATTATTATTATATTTTATAAATGATATTTTGAGAATATTTTTACTAGACTTGCATAAATCATATTTTAAGGATATTATTATTAGATTTTTATGATTCATTTTTTAACTAAATTTATTTCATACATAAGATGTGAGAAATGAATGACCAACTAATTGCGGAAATAGTAATTTTTTTAATACTATTATTTAAAAACACTAATATTTTTTCAAAAAAAATTACTATCGCAAATTGTAATAATAAAATCTCGTTTATATATAATTAGGACCGGAGAAAGTAATTGTTTAATAATTATAGCCTCCTACTACTGGCAAAATAAAGATTATAAATTCATACCCTCCTATTATTTGTCGGTTGGCAGACTTTTATTTTTCAATTTTTTAATATAATGGATTATTAATAATTTTTCACCCAAACTGAAAAATCTTCCTCGGACGCATGACCGAGGGCAGAACCGTTTTGCAGTATAATCGGTGACTGGGGGCGTTCTTGTCATCTTGTTATGTCGGGACTGCCGACTTTTCGGCAAATTATTTTCCCCCTAATTTATTTTTTTTTACAATTTTTTATTTTTTCAAAAGGAAAACAAGGGTGCTAATTCGCTAATCCAATGGTTCACATATTCAAGGAAAAGCCATCTCTCTCGGCCTCTTTCATTTCTCTGTGCTTTAGCTAGGCATTTTTTCCAAAAAAAAATCTAAAATATGTGATGAAAATAATATTAAATATTCTCTCTTGTTCCTGACATCAAATCTGCTTAATTAATTGGAGTAGAGTATAAAAATCAAATAAATTAGTTAGTTATAAAAAATAATATGATTACATATAAAATAATCTTTTTTTTGGCGAAATAAAATAATCTTGTATACTATTAAATTGTATACTGCTCTTCTGATCTTTAATATAAAACTTATTTAACCAATTTGATTGAATTAAAAAAGTTGGATAAGTTAGTTAATTATAAGAAATATGACATGTTTTTTCTAAAATATCATAATTATTTTTCTTAATATTCTCTCTCCTTCTTCTACTTGATTATGATTAAGAGAGTATCCATAGGTATACTTTGAGAAAAATTAATAAATCTTATATTTAAAACCAAAATTAACTCAACAATTACTTCTTATATTAAAGACTGGAAGAGTACTAATTTATAAGTTTTATAAATTAGTTTGAAAATTTATATTAGAATATGAGAAAGTATCAAGTTTGATTAATTTATAAATATACTCATAATGCAATTATGAAGGAAGATGAAATATTTAAAAATATTTAGACGCTCCTTGATCTCTAGTGATTGGCACTGGAAAGGCGTTTTCTAGTTCAGGCCATACTCTCTGTGTGATGTAACCAATATATACAATTTATACGTAATTATTTAAACAGGTCCCACATGTGTGCATGTTCATATTTCTTCTTCTACATTCTCTTCTCTGCATCGTTGTTCTGGTCGGTCTTGTTTATTATTTTTTCTCATCTGATATTGTTCATATGCTCTTATAATTTCATATATTTAATTCTTTAATATTATTCAATCTTATTTGTTGGGTGTTTCCGTGCTTTCCTGTCCGTAGGTTCGTAGGTGATGACCTCAAACACGCACGTCCTTACAACTTAAGTCCTATATATGGGAAGGCTTTAAATCACAATTAATCACCATTCTTAACGATAATAATTAATTATATTATAATTTTTAAATCTCATTGATTAGCTTTGATCCTATTGCTCGTGTCTAAAACAACTTTTATGACTCACATGACCTCTTACCAATAATAATTAATTATCATGCAGTCATTTGTAATTTATAAAAATGACTAAAGGAAGTAATATTATGACACTGCATTATTATATGATAGTGGTGTCATGTACGCTATTCAAGATGAAGATACCGGCAAAGAAGTAGGGAGAATTATCATGAGGTCTCAAAGAAATAATTTAATTACTAAAAAGTTTCAATGATATATAATTAGGCAGCATGAACCGGTTGTCATTTTTTACTCTAAAACTTATTATTTTGTACTCCTCAGTTTTTAATAGACTTTAAAGTAATTAAATATCTTCCTTAGAACTAGATAGCAATTCCCCAAAGAAGTGTTAAATTTTGCTTATATTATTTTATGTTTATACACACGCAACAATTCTTGTTGCATGTTATTATAGAAAAACAACGTTTCAAAACTGTAGCAAAAAATAGACCCAAAAACTATTGCCTTGCACAATACGTAATGCTGAGAAATATGCAATTGAAAAATGTTTTCATAGATAAAAATATTTTAAAACTACTGTCGTTATAAAGTAAATATGTTGTGGTGGCATCTAGCAATTCTTATCAACTAAATCAACTCTCACCGTTGTAATTTAGGTATATTATTGATATATTCATCCAATTCTTAATATAAAAACTACTCTTCTAGTCCTATTTATAGGACAGAAAGAGAATATATTTTTTGATCCTATTTATAGGATATTGAGAGAAATTTTTTGTATGTATATGTATAATTTTACCTTTTATTTATTAGTGTATTGACTTTATTTACATGAAGTATAATATATATTAAATAATGATAAAGTTAGAAATTTATTGAGTTTTAAATGAGATCAGAGTTAATGAAGTTTAAGATTTTTCTTGATTTGTGTGAAATATGTTAGAAGTAGCTTATAAATAAGACCAGAAGAGTATTTAATTAATTTGGACAAATTATTTAACTTTAACAAATGTGCGACATGATCTCCTTAAAATGCCTCTTCAATTGTAACATTATATATTAGATAATATATCAGTTTATGAATAAGAAAAATTAGTTTGGAAAAATGATAAATATGAGATATTAAATGGATCAAAAATCTTATATTTAGAATTAAAATCAGCTCCTTAACTAGCTCCTGCATTTAGGATCGGAAGAGTATTTACAAAGGTGGTTATTATGTTGTTGAAGAGAGAGCAAAATAAGGATATTAAGCTAATACTTACTCCGGTCCTAAATACTACCTCCGGTCCTAATTATAAGACCCAGTTGACTTATTTGATGAGATTAAGGAAGTAAGTTAAGTTAGTTATTTGTAATAAATAAGTGTTGTCATTCCTAAAATATCCTTACTAATTAAGTGTATTGGTTAGAACTATCATTATTAGAAGGACTATCTTGGAAAAAAATGCATAAATATGAGAGACAAAATGGATTGGGGTCTTATAATTAGGACCAAATAAAAAGTCAAACGGGATCTTATATTAAGGATCGGAGGTAGTATGACACTTAAAGAGAGATACCTGTTAGGTAGGTTGATTTTCAAAGGGGAGTGAGTATTTGCACGACATGTCCAACGTATTTTTCCACAAGTATTGGACCCAAACACATGTTTTAATTGGACACTTCATCTTTCCTAAAGCAACTTGATTCCAAGAATGATCTATTATAAATTGATTCTTGCACAAATTGTTCCTTTGTCAAAAAAGGGAGTCGTAAAACTCTTCCGCCCAACGCACAAATTTTCCGTCACAAAAAATTTAGTGTGTGACAGATATGTATTAGATTTGTGTTGGAAAAAAACTTTCATGGCAAATTTTCATGTCCTAATTAATTCTATCTATGCATATATAATATAATGAAAAAAATTCTAATTCAAAATCCACAATTATTTTATAAATACGATTAAAAAAGAATCAATAGCGGGAGCTGAGTTCTGAAATAAACTAATCCCTCATATATATATATATACATATATATATAAACTCTTCCGATCTTTAATATAATACTTAATTAACTAATTTGTAAAGCTGGTAAAACAAGTTGGCGGTGTGGATATAGGCCAACCTGCTGTGGTGCAA